ATCACGTGAAGATTAGGCACCCACAGCTTAATTTAATTTAATGATATTTCACCCAAATGCTAACCTAACCTAACCCGATAGAAACACCCATTTAACTATTCGACTAAAAATAATAACCAGATATGTCGTGAAATGTCTGGTAACACTGTTTGACTGTAACATATATACGTAGGTCGAGTCTCTGGGCTATTTTGTCGGCCATAACAAACCCTCCTATGACGTCATTTGTATCATATTTTTTTTCACATCTACAGTCAAGGAAAAGAATTTAACATATGACCGGTTGGGTGTTTGTGTGTCGTGGATTAAGTGAAGGAGGAGGAGGGGGAAGGAAAGAGAGGGAGAAGAACAGGAGAAGGATAATAAGAGGAGAAGGAGAGGAGGAGGGGATGGTCTGATACACTCCTAATCCAGACTGAGCTGTGTTGACCCCGAGTGCTGGATTTGACCTTTGGACTTGACCTACAGAACGGGATTTGACCTACAGAGCGAGACGTGATCTTGTGGATTTGACCTACAGAACGGGACTTGAACTTTTGGACTTGACCTCTAGATTAAATGTTACCTTTACCATTCAGAGGAGAATACCAAGACTAATCCCGGGCATTAGGAACCTTGAGTACAGAGACAGGTTAAAGCATCTTAATTTGCATTCCCTTGAGAGACGTAGAGTGAGGGGCGATATGATAGAGGTGTATAAATGGAAGTAAGTCAGAGCTAAACAAAGGTGATATAACAAAGGTACTCAAACTATCCAACCACAAGCGAACTCGTGACAATGGTTTTAAATTAGACAAATTTAGATTTAGGCGTGAAATAGGTAAACATTGGTTTGAAAATAGAGTAGTGGACGAGTGGAACAAGTTACCAAACATCATCATTAACTCTAATACACTGGATAGCTTCAAACATACTGTAGGTTGGATGGATATATGAGCGATAGGGGTTGGGTGTAAACGAGACTGCCCAGTATGGCTCGCTGCGGCTTCTCCCTTCATATGTTCTTATAACTTAGTGATGGTTTGGGTGGTGGTAGTGATGGTAATGATGGTGATAGTGATGAGGTGTGATGGGCGGGGTGATGGCAATGGTGAAAGTGATAGTGATGATGGTGGTAGTGATGGTGATGGTGGTGTTGGTAGAGAGAGAGAGAGAGAGAGAGAGAGTCTTAGGGTACATTTTTTCAGCCTATAGACACTGAACACTGTGAGGCTCAGCCGTGGTTCAGCTTATTTCATTTGACGTATGAGAGGGATGAGAGGGCGGGGGGATGAGAGGGCGGGGGGGGATGAGGAGTGTGGGAGGGGATGAGAGGGAGTGTGGAGGATTAAAAGGTGGGGGAGCAGTTGGCATTCGGTGGATGAGAGAGAGAGAGAGGTGATTGAATTTTGAAGGATGGTTGGTAGTTGGGTGGGCTTGAGGGTGGGTGGGTGGGTAGGCGGGTGGGCTTGAGGGTGGGTGGGTGGGTAGGCGGGGTGGGGTTGTGGGTGGGTAGGCGGGTGGGTTTGTGGGTCGGTGAGTGGTTGCGTTTAGGTGGGTCGGTAAGTGAGTAAATGGGTGGGTGTAGGTCAGTGGGTGAATGGGTGGGTTAACGGGTGGGTGGGTGGTTAGCAGGTGGGTGGGTGGGGCGGAAAGCTCAAAGGATTAATATTCAATACAGTGTGTGTACAGTTCCGCCCGATATCATTTTCATGTCATTCTGAAGTGTTTTAATGAACCTGTGTGTGTGCGTGTGTGTGTGCGTGTGTGCGTGTGTGTGTGTGTGCGTGCGTGGTGTGTGTGTGGTACATAACAGGTAGTTGACCAAAATTAACCTGTCGACTGTAGCTTCTGGCGGACTGTTGGTGATAGTGATGGTGATAGTGATGGTGATAGTGATGGTGATAGTGATGGTGATAGTGATGGTGATAATGATGGTGATAGTGATGGTGATAGTGATGGTGATAATGATGGTGATAGTGATTGGTGATAATGATGGTGATATAGTGATGGTGATAGTGATGGTGATAGTGATGGTGATAATGGGGATGGTGATGGTGATAGTGATGGTGATGGTGATAATGATGGTGATAGTGATGGTGATGGTGATAGTGATAATGATGGTGATAGTGATGGTGATAGGGATGGTGATAGGGATGGTGATAGGGATAGAGTGGTGATAGTGATGGTGATGGTGATAGTGATTGTGGTGATAGTGATGGTGATGGAGTGGGTGATAGTGATGGTGATAGTGATGGTGATGATGATAGTGATGGTGATGGTGATAGTGATGGTGATAATGATGAGCATTAGTGATGGTGATAATGATGGTGATAGTGATGGTGATAATGAGTGATGGTGTAGGGATGGTGATAGTGATAATGATGGTGATAGTGATGGTGATAGGGATGGTGATAGTGATGGTGATAATGATGGTGATAGGGATGGTGTTGGTGAGTGATAATGATGGTGATAGTGATGGTGATAATGATGGTGATAGTGATGGTGATAATGATGGTGATAGTGATGGTGATAATGATGGTGATAATGATGGTGATAATGATGGTGATAGTGATGGTGATAATGATGGTGATAATGATGGTGATAATGATGGTGATAGTGATGGTGATAATGATGGTGATAATGATGGTGATAGTGATGGTGATAGGGATGGTGATGGTGATAGTGATAATGATGGTGATAGTGATGGTGATAGGGATGGTGATAGTGATATTGATGGTGATAGGGATGGTGATAGTGATGGTGATAGGGATGGTGATAGTGATGTTGATGGTGATAGGGATGGTGATAGTGATGGTGATAGGGATGGTGATAATGATGGTAGTGATATAGTGGTGATAGTGATGGTGATGGTGATAGTGATAATGGTGATAGTGATGGTGATAGGGATGGTGATAGTGATGGTGATAGGGATAATGATGGTGATAGTGATGGTGATAGTGATAATGATGGTGATAGTGATGGTGATAGGGATGGTGATGGTGATAGTGATAATGATGGTGATAGTGATGGTGATAGGGATGGTGATAGTGATGGTATTAGTGATGGTGATGGTGATAGTGATAATGATGGTGATAGTGATGGTGATAGTGATGGTGATTGTGATGGTGATAGTGATAATGATGGTGATAGTGATGGTGATAGGGATGGTGATTGTGATGAGTGATAGGGATGGTGATGGTGATAGTGATGGTGATAGGGATAATGATGGTGATAGGGATGGTGATGGTGATAGTGATAATGATGGTGATAGGGATGGTGATAGTGATGGTGATGGTGATAGTGATAATGATGGTGATAGTGATGGTGATAATGATGGTGATGGTGATGGTGATAGTGATGGTGATGGTGATAGGGATAATGATGGTGATAGTGATGGTGATAGTGATAATGATGGTGATAGCGATGGTGATAGTGATAGTGATAGTAGTGATGGTAGTAGTAACGTTGTGGTTTTTCTCGTGTATCTGCTCCTCCTCCTCCTATGCTCTCCCTCCCATACATCACTCCTTCTTGCTCTTCCTCCTTCCATCCCCTCTTCCTCCCTTCCATCCCTCTCTTCCTCCATCCCTCTCTTCTCCCTCCATCCCCTTCTTCCTCTCTCCCCCTTCTCACCTTCCCAGACCAATTTGTGCCTCACCTGGAATATTGAACCTTTCAGTGAGAAACCTTCCCTGTACTCTACCAGTGAGAGGAGAGAGAGAGAGAGAGAGAGAGAGAGAGAGAGAGAGAGTAACCCGTTAAGAAATTATCTTAATCAGCCGAACCCCGTTATAACATCACCCTTATTATAACTTACACCACCCCGTTATAACTCTTACACCACCCCTGCTATAACCTACACCACTCATAACACACATCACTTCATTTAAGCGACATTTATTTGTGGTGTTGTTCAGTTATCGTCAACAAGGCAACTACCATCGCTATTTCGTTGGGCCTTGAATTTTAACTAAAGTTGATTGCTCGATGTTGAATATATGCACGAGTGAAGCAATGAATTATGTATGACGAGTTTGCTCTTCAATAATGCCTGACTGCAACGTAGGTGGGGGAGAGGGGGAGGGGGGGTGTTGAGAAGTAAAAGTTAAATGGCTCGGCATTGTTTACATAAGACAGGTGTTGTTAAGGTTAGGTTAGGTTAGTTTAGTTAGTTTTGGTCAAGGTTAGGTTAGGTTAGGTTAGTTAAGTTAGGTTTGGTGGGTAGGTTAGGTTAGTTAGTTAGTTTTGGCCAAGGGTAGGTTAGGTTAAGTTAGTGATTAATCTGTACTTGATATAAAGTGGGCGGCTAAACTCCAATACCAATAATGGCGGCAAAATTACACCGAGACTCGACGGTGAGATATAATATGGAGCAATTGGTTAAATATAGGAAAAGAAAACATCAACATTCGTAACTTGTATTCGTCATTAATTGTCTACCTCATAATGTGTCTACCCACTTGTCTACCCTCATACCTTATCTACCCACTTGTTCACCTCATAACTTATCTACCCACTTGTCTACCCTATAACTTATCTACCCACTTGTTCACTCCCATAACTTATCTACCCAATTTGTCTACCTCATAAACTTATCTACCCACTTGTTCACCTCATAATGTGTCTACCCACTCTGTCTACCTCATAACTTATCTACCACTTGTTCACTACCTCTATAACCCAATTTGTCTACCTCATAACTTATCTACCCACTTGTCTACCCTCACCTGTATGGTCGATTTCCCAGTGTTGGTGGTGGTGTCGTCGCTCTTATCATCTTTAGTGTATGACTCTCTTGCTTGTGAAGTTAGTCGAGTTATATTGTGGTGTGGGGGGCTGGAGACACTCTGGTGTTGATTAAAATAGTGTTGTAGCAGCCACTGTGGAGGTTGTTGCGTCACTTAACTTGTCGACCATCAGTATGTGACGGAGAGAGGTGGAGGGAGGTGAGGTGAGGTGCTCCTGTCAGAATACGTAATCTCAAAGTGTTGCAGGGTTTGACCTCGCTGTGTGCTGGATTCTGGAACTTGGTTCTCTGTGAATGAGCTCCTGGAACAGCTCGTGGTGGCTCCAGTGTCACCAAGCTTTACTGCTACTTCGAAATTGCCAATGGGGCCACCGTAAGTTGTGAAGCCAGCCGGGGCTACCAATACATTACTGAGGTGAGTGAAGCCAACAACACCGCCGCCATGAAGCTTCGGTACGATTTCGACTCGTCTCATAAGACGTATCGGACGTTCCCGCAGAAGGTGGTCCACTCGACAGGCCTGGCAGATCGCTGGAGCTTCCTCAAGTGGTGCTGCCCATTCTGCCTGGAGAAACCTCGCTCACGCTCTCGTAAGTCCAGCAGCGTCCCTGTCATCCGCATCACCAGACCTCGAAGTCCCGACTCAGACCCGGACAGTGAAGATGAACCCAAGGAGCAGCGGAAAGGCAGCGTGGAGAGTGGGGGCAGTAGTGGGGGTGTCGGGGTCGTGGAGTCTACTGTGAGGTCCCACAGGGCGAATGAGAGCGGGGATGTCCTCAGCCAGGACGGCAGCGAACTCGATGTCATCGATGAAGAAATCAACGACCCAAGAGACTTTGACACCGACTCCATATTGAGTAAAGATTCTGTGCGTAGCAAAGATTCTGTCGGGAGCAAGAAATCAATCAAGAGTAAGTCCTCAACCGCTGACTCGGTCAAGAGTAAGACCTCGGTCAAGGGCAAACAGTAAGAGGTTGGGGAAGGTCAGCAAGGAGTCCTTCAGTAGTCGCGAGTCCGTGAATGACACGGAAGGTACCAAGAGCAAGACCCGCTCCTCTGTAAAGAAGATCTTCAAGCACTTCAAACGTAACGCCTCCACGGCGTCCTCGACCTCCTCCAGTAGTCGAGGAGGAGACAAACGCCTCGACCAAATCTTCCTTTCAGTAGGAGTCGCAGACAACAGGGGCAACAAGAAGGCCAGTAGGAACTTCTCCCCCGCGCGTACGGAGACAAACGCAAGTCCATGACTCTTGACGGTCGAGGACGAGGGTTCGAGACCCAGAGGTCAGCCACCAGCGAGGTGGTAGGTCAAGAGGTGGAGCTGAGGGGAAGTAGGTCGACTAGTGAGTGTGTTGAGATGAGGGGGACCAGGGCGACCAATGAGGGTGTGGCGCTGAGGAGCAACAGGTCAACCACCCTGGACGGTCGAGGCTCCAGCAGGAAGGGGATCATTGTGATGAGGGACGACACAGAGCCTGACGGAGGGACCCAAGTACACAGGTACAAGTCGACGGCCAAGTGGGAAACGAAAACAGTGGGAACGGTGAAGATAGATCCCTCGTCACACACAGAGAAGGATAATATAGAGGAGATGAACGGCGTGGCGGTGAAAAACCTCCAAACTGTCGATCTGGAGACAAATGGAGAAGGAAATTCGACGCCTCCGACACCTCCTGAAAAGATCGAGGAAGACGAAGTGGTGTTCATGTCCCCTAAAAAGTTTGGAATGAAAGGGAAAACAGAGAAGAACAAAGGAAATGAAGAAGAGGAGGAGCAGGGGGGAGTGAGGGAGGAGGAAAGAGTGGGAGGGATGGATGAGGAGGAGAAGGTTGAGTCGTGTCCCCCGGAAACACCAGCACAAAAGGACAAGGTTTACGACTCCCCCAACAAGCACCACCACCACCATCACCAAGTGGCCGACCCTGGAGGTAAGATTTTCTCCAATTAACCTAGTCCTACGTCATCAATTGCTTACGTCATTACATTCCTTTACCAATAGTTTCGTTTTACGTCATAACCTGCTTACGTAATTATCCTCTTCCACCAGTAACCAATGCCCCACGTCATCATCTGCTTACGTCATTATTTCTCGTCACCTGTTCACGTCATCGATTGTATTGATGATCCGCCCACTGCCGTATGATTTGGTTTTATTTATTTCACGATTATTTTTATTGTACTGGATATTGATTCTTGTTTCACCTGTTATATTTTTTATTACGTTTTAAGGAGGAAACTAAATATTAACGACTTTCTGAACGATAAAAATTCTTCTTCTTTGTTATTTATTTATTTATTATTATTATTATTGTTACTATTATTATTATTATTATTATTATTATTATTATTATTATTATTATTATTATTATCATAACCATCTTATTATCATCATCATTATCACAAACACGTGAAGTATTGACCCAATAATACGGTAAGGAGCGAGTGGAAGGAGGGTAACACTTGTCCACTACACACATGGATGAATGGATGGATAGATAGATGGATGAATGGATGGATAGATAGATGGATATAGATAGATAGATAGATAGATATTAGATTTTTCATTGACTTCGAGAAACTGAATCTATGTTTTATGATCGTACTGAGAGAGAGAGAGTCAGACAGGTTAGGCAGTTAGACTGCTCGTGTAATGTCTCATTCAGATGTCTGGCAGACATTAGTGTTCAGTGATCACAGAAGAGGAGAGAGAGGAGGAGAGAGAGAAGGAGGAATAGGAGGTGAGGAGGAAGGAGGAATAGGAGGTGAGAAGGAGGAGGAGGAAGAATGAGGAATAGGAGGTGGGTAGGGAGGAGGAATAGGTGAGGAGGAGGAAGGATGAGGAATAGGAGGTGGGGTGGAGGAGAGAAGGAGGAATAGGAGGTGAGGAGGGAGGAGGAATAGGAGGGGTGAGGAGGAGGAGGAGGAATAGGAGGTGAGGAGGAGGAGGAAGGATGAGGAATAGGAGGTGGGGAGGAGGAGGGAATGGGTGAGGAGGAGGAGGAAGGATGAGGAATAGGAGGTGGGGAGGAGGAGAATAGGTGAGGAGGAGGAGGAAGGATGAGGAATAGGAGGTGGGGTGGAGGAGAGAAGGAGAATGGGAGGTGAGGAGGAGGAGGAATAGGAGGCGAGAAGGAGGAGGAGGAAGGATGAGGAATAGGAGGTGAGGAGGAGGAAGAATGAGGAATAGGAGGTGGGGAGGAGGAAGAATGAGGAATAGGAGGTGGGAGGAGGAATGAGTAATAGGAGGTGGGGAGGGGAGGTTCGTGGGACAATCCCCTAGTGAAGCTGTGTCAGGTTGGGGCATTTCCTGTCTGGTGTTACCCTCCCTCCCCCCCCTCCCCTCCCCTCCTTCCCTCAGAATACCTATTATACCTATACCCTCTCCCACCCCCTGTTCCATTGTCTCCCTCCCTCCCTCCCTCCCTCCCTCCTCTTCTCTAACCATCCCACTTTTTTCCCTTGGTCAATGTACGCCCCCCTCCTTCCTTATCTCACGCTACTATGGTCCAGTATAACCTCCCTCCCTTTCCCGGTCCATTAGTCCATTGTAACCCCTTCCTCCTTCTCCTCCTCCTTCCCTCCTCCTTCCTTACTTCCTCCTCCTCCTTCCCTCCTCCTTCCTTACTTCCCTCCTCTCCTCCTTATCCTCCTCTTCTTCCCTCCCTTCCCTTCCTCTTTCCTCCTCTCCCTTCCTTCCTCCTCCTCCTCCTCCTCCTCCTCCTTCTCGTTAAGATTCTTCCTATTTAAACATCCATTTCTACCCCATTTCTCTCCCTACGTTTAATTCCCCCCTTTTCCTCCCCTTCCTCCTCCCTCCTCCTCCCTCCCTCCCTCCCCTCCCTCCCTCCCCTCCTCCCTCCTCCTCCTCCTCCTCCTCCTCCCCTCCTCCTCCTCCTCCTCCCTCCCTCCTCCTCCTCCCTCACTTCCTTTCCGCCCACCGACCCTTACAAACACCCCTTGTATACATACAAACATACACATTTACAGTATACTCACAAAGGCTCTCTCTCTCTTTTAAACCTTCAGAACTATGGCGTTAACCAATGAGCCTCAAGGTGGAAGCAGGTGCCAATGCATAATTACACCTTCCCCCACCCCAATTAGTCACCTCTAATTACCCCCATTTAAGAAGTTGACGTAATTACAAGCTTAATGAAGGTATGATATAGTATATGTGATTATTACCGTAGATGTTTGTGTGTGTGGGGTAGGTGAGGTAAATGAGGAGGAAAAATATAATATGACTCGGCAACTGAAACATCGCCCTGGGGATCGGGAATACCGCCAGGAAAGTGAGTCACTCTCTCTCTCTCTCTCTCTCTCTCTCTCTCTCTCTCTCTCGGGTGTGTGTGATGGAGAGGGAAGGCATAGAAGGAAAGACAGCGAGAGATTAAAAGAGAATGAAAGAAAGAGAGAGAGAGATTACGAAGCAAAAGAGAAACTCACTCACTCACTCACTCACTCCCTAGTACTGACAGCACAGGAACCATGGGTAGATGGGGTAGGAGGCGAGGACTAAGGGTAGCGATCCTCAAGAAATAACTTAACTAGGTGTCCCTGCCCTGAGACACACCTGACCAAGCTGACTGTGGCTATCTTGGCTCTCAGGTACACACGCTGGGGTCGTGAGGTGAGGGCGTGACAATATACAGGTGTTGACAGGTAGATGTACAGGTGTTGATAGGTAGAGGTTCAGGTGTTGATAGGTAGATGTATAGGTGTTGATAGGTAGAGGTTCAGGTGTTGACTGGTAGAGGTACAGGTGTTGATAGGTAGAGGTTCAGGTGTTGACTGGTAGAGGTACAGGTGTTGATAGGTAGAGGTACAGGTGTTGACAGGTAGAGGTACAGGTGTTGACAGGTAGAGGTACAGGTGTTGACAGGTAGAGGTACAGGTGTTGACAGATAGAGCTACAGGGTTGACAGGTAGAGGTTCAGGTGTTGACAGGTAGATGTATAGGTGTTGATAGGTAGAGGTTCAGGTGTTGACTGGTAGAGGTTCAGGTGTTGACAGGTAGAGGTTCAGGTGTTGACAGGTAGATGTATAGGTGTTGATAGGTAGAGGTTCAGGTGTTGACTGGTAGAGGTTCAGGTGTTGACAGGTAGAGGTTCAGGTGTTGACAGGTAGAGGTACAGGTGTTGACAGGTAGAGGACAGGTAATAAGTATACAGGTAGTGTAATTAATTCTGCAGGTGGTGACGGTGTTAGTGTTTGCTAGCGACAACCATTAAGGGAGGGACCGACTAAGGGAGAGAGCCACTAAGGGATTGATTGAATGATTGATTGATTGATTGAAACATTTTATTTAGCCAGAAAAGCACAGATACAGAGTGGGTAATAATAACATTATTAACATGGCTGAGCCAGTTGAGAACCTGAGCTGCACCTGATATATACTATACATTTATCTCAAGGAAGTATTATGTAACATTTAGTATCATCTGGAACAGTACAATAGCATGGTGGTAATAAGAACATGTTACCACGGTTATCACTTCAATATTTATTTTTATTTTTTATTTATTTAATATTGTATTTATTTATTTATTCATTCATATATACATACATATACATATATACACATATACAGGGTATATATATACATATACTGTATACTGATATATATATATATATATATATATATATATATATATGTATATATATATATATATATATATATATATATATATATATATATATATATATATATATATATATATATATATACACATAAATTATAAATTAGAGTGGAATTTAAAAACATAAGTATAATGGGGGAGCAGTACAACCTGGGTTGTGCAGTAATAAGGTTGAACAAGAGGACAGAGCTTTCAGGATTATGTCTAGTTGGCAATTATGTTTATTGCAATGGTAATTACTTATTTATTTACATGATAATTTCCGATAAAACGGATTTGATGGTACAATAAAAGCAGGTACTGTAAGTATATTAAGTGTTACAAGAAGTATTAATACTTCGACAATAGATATTTTTTAGAGATGATTTAAAGGAAGGGAGCGTAGTCTTTGCTCGGATGGGTGGGGGTAAGTTGTTCCACACCTTCACACTGTGATATTTTATGGAGGTCTGGGACTGAGAGGAGCGCATGGGGGGTGGTCTTAGTAGCTCTGGGTGCCTTAAGTTGTATCTCTGATTATTCCGGAACTGGAAGTAATTAGTGTCAAGCAAGTGACTGATAGATTTGTAAACAAAGAGGGCACAGCAGTAGGTGTTAATATCCTCGAATTTTAAAAATTTCAATATAGCAGATTTTTCGTTTGTGTGATCTGTTTTTTTTCAAGTAGGTCATTGTCCGTACAACTCTCTTTTGTGCAGTAACCAGAGATTGTGTTTTTGAAGAGCCAGTGGCCCCCCCATAGTGTGACAGTATCAGGTGTTGGTAAATAAGATCATGATAGATTTCTTTCATTGCTGTGAGAGTGAGTGACTGTCGAGTGTGATACATGATACCGCACTGTTTATTGATTTTACTGTGAATGGCTTGTATGTGGTTTCTCCAGTTAAGTTTCTCATCAACAATAACTCCGAGGAATTTAGTATTTTGTTCGCGTTTGAGAACTATATTACCAAGGTACAGGGGGTTTAAGTCTGGAGGTAAGTTTTCCTTCTGTGAAAGATAGTGTAGTGGGTTTTCTCAAGGTTTAAGGTCAGTTTATTACGTATTACCCAGGTCCCGACTTGAGTTAATTCAGTGTTCATAGTTCTCATCAAGGAATGGAGGTCAGAGTTGCTGGCATAGAGATTACTATCGTCTGCAAATAAGTTGTATTTTATGAGTGAGTTGGCGTGGACTATGTCGTTTATGTACAACAAAAACAGTACTGGACCGAGAATTGAACCTTGGGGGACTCCATACAAGATTGGCGAGGAGTTAGATTGGTGGTTATTATAGCAGACATACTGCTT